GCACCCACAAATCATCAGGCCTTGCTCTGCCCTCTCCCGAGAAACAGAGAGATGCTGACAGCCTCTCATTGTACACTTCTCGTGTCTCTAGATCAGTTCTTTAATACTGCATTTCTTTTTTTTTTTTTTTTTGTCTTTTTCCTTTTTATCGGTACCAGGGATCGAACTCACAACTGCCTGCTTGCAAGGCAGGCGCTTTATGCCGCTGAGCTAAATCCCCAGCCCCCAATACTGCATTTTAATTCACTGATTTTTCCTTTTTTTTTTTTTTTTTTGGTGGCAGTTGCTTTGGTTTTTTTGAGACAGGATCTTACTATCTGGTCCATGTTGGTCTTGAACTCACTATGTAGGCCAACCTCAAAATTGCAGCAATTCTCCTGCCTCAGCCTCTCAGATTCTGGGATTATAGGCATGTGACACCACACCTGGGTCTTCCATTATGGTCATGTCATTTTTTGTTTTGTTTTGGGGGTCATGTTTTTTTAATTTCAAGATACCTAATTTAGGGTTATAGATGTAACTCAGGGGTAGTGTTATGGGGTTCAGGAGCAGACCAGAGGAACTTTAGAAGGCATATAGCTTTATTACACTAGCAGGGTAAAGGAAATCGTCAGTTCCAGATCGTCAGTCATTGAGTCAGCTTTGGATTTTGTTTATAAAGGTTTTCAAGCAGGAAGTAAATGATGCAGATAACATAATATCCTAGGGTTTGTCACTAAGTGTTGGGCAGAGTTCACTCTTACAGAAACAGCAACTATCTGAGATTACTATCATACCATGTACAACACAGAGGAAGAATCCATCATTGTCTGAGACCAGGCAGAGAAGTCCTTGCAGTAATAACTCTCTGGGACTCAGAAGTAAGAGAAACATTTCTTCCTGGCAGAGCTACACTTATCTTGCAATTGGCACCCGTAGTGTCCAGGATTGCTAAGTTTGTAGCTTTCTGATCATGGGAACACACTGTGTCCCCTGGTCTCCTCCTTAAACTGTATTAGAAATATGCTTAGTACAAGAAACACAAGTTTCAAAAATTTCTCTGCATTAAAATAGCTTCTGCAGTAGAGCACCCCTCTAGCATGAGCAAGGCCTTGGATTTGAACCTCAGCATCTCTCACACACAGATATCTAATTTACTTTAATTCTATTTTTGCTCATAATTTTTGTTCTTATTAAGTGAATATTATTCCTTTATTGTCTTTCAGCAACCTAAAGTACTTATTTTGAAGTCTTTGTCACACTGACCCATAAAATTACTTACTCTCAAATCGTTTGGCTCTTTCCCTTCTTCTCTTCCTCCCCTCCCCTCCCCTCCCCCTCCCCTCCTCCCCCCTCCTCCTCCCCCTCCCCCCTCCCCTCCCCCCTCCTCCTCCTCTCCCCTCTTTCCATGCACACTACCCCTAATTTTGCTGCTTTTCCCATCTAACCCTTCATATTCCCAGTCTAAAACTAGGTCTTAATAACAGCTTGGAGCACATATTCTCATTAGAATTAATGAAACTAGGACTCTTGAAGATCTCACCTTTAGTTAATGGGTATCATGGTTTAATTTCTGGTCTTGAAACTAACTGTGCCTTTTCCTCTGTTCCCTTGCTTATAAACGAATAGCCCTATGGCATTTTTCCTTCTCCACCATCCTTTCACAGGTCTCTGGTCTCAACCCTGGTTTTCAGCAGTGAAGTTGGATTTGTTCCTCCCTTTTCCCGACCTGTGAAATGTTTTGCCCCCGTAGCACTGAGCAGGGAGCCCAGGGCCTCACACATGCGGGCGGAGGGCTCTGCCCTGAGCTCCGTCCAAGGCCCATGAACGCTTTCAGTTCCTCTTACCCTCAGGAGAGTCAGTCCCTGCCTGTGTCCTGCTGCCTTCCAGATTTGGAGCTCGATGATCATACAGCTTCTACGTCACTCACCATCTTGTTTTCTCATTTTGTGTCTCTTCCTCGACGATGTTTATTTTGTTGCAAAGCCCAGTCAAATCTTTGGTTCTCTTTTAATGTACAGTATTCCTTACAGTTCCTCCACAGTTGGCGTAGAGAAGGTGCTCAAGGTATGAACTTGTCAAACTTTTTTAAGTAGATGCTTAATGTAACTTTTAAAGAATAAAATGGCTTATCAAAATTCTTATAAAGTTAATACCCTTTTTAATTTTAAACTTCAATACAACATAAAATATCCTTATTCTCAAAAACATTTTATCATAAGGTATCAAAAGAATCATCCTATCCGAGGGCCTGTTCATTGAGGTGTTCCACTGAACTGAGAAGTCTCTAAGCAGTTTGTTGCTGAACATCCTCAGAATGCCGCTCTTGTGACACCAACAAGCTGCTGAAACTCCAGCTTCATTATTATTCCAGTAGGTGGAACCCCATGTGCAAATGGTAAAGTCCAGAAGATCTCAGGCATGAGCTTTCCCTCTCCCTCCATTCTCTCATTGTTTCTGTGTCTTCGCTCATTTTTAATTTTTACCCTAACCAACTGCACGCTACAACCTTCTGCTCAGTTTAATTTTCTTAAGCTTCTTAAGCTTTCTTAATTTTCTACGTTCCCAGTAGCAGATTTCCATGCTCCATCTGCTTTGGTGAAGCTTTTGTCATTCTTTTTCTTGCAGGGGTGAAGTAATGTGACTTGCAGAATCTCACATGCGGACACTTACTGAGTAGGGTACTGTGATTCAGGTGAAAAAGCTCACTGAAATTTTGAGTCTCAAGAGCTGTGAAAATAACAACCTGAAATACATTGTCAGTGGGTTTGGACAGTTACCGTCTGCCACCTGCTCAGAGTTCTGTGGAGGCTGTAGTGTCACTTAGGCAAACTGGGCCTCAGCCAGGGTCACCAGCGCCTTGGTGTCCTGGAAGCAGCCGGCCAGCTCCACACGCGCCCTGCACTCTGGGAGGTGCAGACTCTGCCCGGGAGAAGGGCCATCCAGGGGAGGCGGCACTGGCACTTGTTACTGTGATGTCCCTAACCCTCTGCCTCAGCTGTGCCGTGCGAGATGTTCCTCAGGGAAGTGACCAGTTTCCCGGTCCTGACCCCAGGGGAGGAAAAGCCCATCTCTGGCAGCCCAAATTGTTGACTGACATCTGCTGGGTTCTTCTGGGTGTCACTGGCCTGGCTTCAGCTTTGTTGTTGTCATTTTGTTTTTAGCACTATATAGCTTGGAACTGAGTAAAGACCAAGCCACCAGTTGGGTCATTTCAATTTTTTTTTTATTTTAAAGAGAGTAAAGTAAACAAAAATAAAAACAATGATAGAGTTTCAAAACAGAATAACAATTTAATGGTTAATATATTACATACTGTTGTCTTCAAAGTACCTGCTCAGATTACAAGATACAGGCATGCAAAATTAATCAATATAAGCACCAGCTGATCTTTTCAATGAACTAAAAGAAATTAGTGGTACAAGTACGTTAACGATCTTATCTATATATCCATATATAGGTGCCTATATTTTATTTTCCTTTCCTTCATTTTTTACCCCATCTCAGTTATTCTTTCCATATGAGCAATTTCTTTCCCTTTTTCAGTATCTATTGCAGATTTTGTACCTTATTTACTCTTTCACTTTCTTTTTTTTTTTTTTTTGTCTTTTTTGTTTCTATCGGTACCAGGGATCAAACTCACAACCACGCACTTGCAAGGCAGGCGCTTATGCCACTGAGCTAAATCCCCAGCCCTCTTTTAGGTTTTTTTTTTTGTTTGTTTTGTTTTGTTTTTTTTTTTGTCTTTTTTGAGACGGGGTCTCGCTATGCAGTTCAAGCTGGCCTTGAGCTCACTTGGTAGCCCAGGCTGGTCTCAAACTCGCAAGGATCCTCCCACCTCAGCCTCCCAAGTGCTGGGATTACAGACATGAGCCACCACGGCTGGCTCCTGTTTTAGTTTCTTACACAAGGGATCCAAGACAATGTTTATACATACGAGCTTGATTTATTTCACTCGTGAGTATGACCTCTAGTTGCATCCATTTACCTATAGAAGTCTTGTGTTTACCCTTCTTTGTAACTGAATAGTACTCCATTATATAAAAATAATACATCTTTTTTTTCTGTTCCTCAGTTGATGGGCATTTGAGTTTCCAAGATTTAGCTATTATGAGTGTTGCTGCTATAAACGTGGGTACACATTTATTGCTGTGGTATGAAGTATTTAATTCTTTTAGGAAAATACCCAGAAAGGGAATACCTGGGTTAAATGGGACCTATGATCCTAGTTTTTTGAGGGCTCTCCACAGTGATTTCCAGAATGGTTACACAAGTCTACACTCCTACCAACAGTGGAGAAGGGTTCCTTTTTCCCCACAGCCCCTCCAGCATTTGTTATTGGTTAGTTTCATGATATTAGCCATTCCTTCTGGGGTGAGATGGAATCTGTGTTGTTTTAACTTGCATTTCTTGGATTATTTCAATATTATCAGTGCTTCAAAACATCTTTATCAGATCTGTGAAGAATGCACAGAACCGTGATAGTTGCAAAAAAGATTAGAAACTGAGATCCATGAGCATCAACCTAAGGTGTCTGCTGGTCCTGATATTTGACAATAAGAGGCAGAGTGACACTGGTTAGGATGTGTGTGAAATAATCACAGGAAAGAAACAAATCAAGAACTGACAGACTAGTGGAAGTAGGGAGAGAAGAATTAAAGAGGGGATGGTAAAAAATTACTCAAAAACTACTTTTAAAAAATGAACTTAAAATTTTTAAATTTTTTTAGTTAAAGTAAATGTTAAACCACAGGTGTGAATTCTTAGTGTGTGTGTGTGCACACGCAGCTCACTTGCTCACACATGTTCTCGGTCTCTCTGTCTCTGTCTCTGTCTCTGTCTCTCTGTCTCTTTTCTCTCTCTCTCTCTCTCTCTCTCTCTCTCTCTCTCTCTCTCTCTCTCTCTCATGTGCTGCTAGGGATTGGCTCCTGATAACCAATCTTGTTTCCTAGTCTTTGAAAAGAAAATGCCACACTTCATATCATTATCAGTTATTTCAGACTACAGGTCTAATGGCTTATGCCTGTAATCCCAACATTCAGGAGGATGAGGCAGGAGGATTACCCTGAGTTCAAGGCCAGCCTGGGCTGCATAATAAATTCAAGGCCAGCCTGATTTGCATGGTGAGACCCTGCCTCAAAAAAACCAACAAAAAAAAATTTTAAGAAAGAGGAATATAGCTCAGTGGTAGAATACCTCTGGGTTCCACCTATAGGACTGAAAAATAGTTGGCAGTAATTTTTATGTATATGTTAGCATACTTTTTGATACACAGTCTGGCTATGTATTTCAGCCTGAACTCACTAGCCCAGGTTAGCCTCAAACTCACAGTGATCCTCCTGCCTCAGCCTCTAGAGTGCTGGGATCATAGGCATGCACCACCATACTTAGCGTACCATAATTTTCTTTTATAATTTGTTATTCAGCATTTTATTTTTGGCTGAATTCAGAAGTAGAAGCTCTCAGAGAGGAAAGCCTGCGTCTCTTGGCAACTCACTCCTGGTGTTTTTTCTGGGCTTCATTCTACTGGCCAGAAGTTCAGCATATTCTGCAGCCTCTTCATTTTTCTTAGTTTGCTGCTGCTTCGGAGCAGTATGGCGGCTGGCGTTTGTGTTGGACATGTGGAGCGAGCAACAAGATGCTGAATCTTGGGGCCTTTAGTCCTGGGTTTCTTACCTTAAGGGCTTTCTGACAACATATTGGCAACATCATCTTCTTTTTTATTTTTATTTTTTTTTAAATCTTTTTATCGGTACGGGGGGAATCGAACTCACGACTGCTTGCTTGCAAGGCAGGTGCTTATGCCACTGAGCTAAATCCCCAGCCCCAAACATCATCATCTTTAGAGAGACTGAAACGCTTGCAGATTCTGCTTACTCTTTTGGACCCCAGGCACAGGTTTTTTTTTTGTTGTTGTTGTTTTTTTAATAATAAGCAAGTTCTAAATTCTCAGATCGCCATCCGCAAGGCAACCTCAGACAGATCTATGTGCTCTCCCAGTTCTCCTCGGTCTGTAATAGGATGTTCCTTGCTCAGTAACAAGCGAACTCGGCCATGAGTCAAGACGCCCTGCTTCATGGGGAAACCTTGTTTGTCGTTCCCACCACTGATTGAGACCACATAACCCTTCTGTTCTTCACCAGCAGCAACTGCTGTGGCTACACGATTTCCATAGGACCTATGAAGTTTGCATTCATCAGAGCTCGGTGAGTTTCTGGCAGCCCTGACGGGGAAGATGTTCAGCTTCATCTTGAAGCAACTGATCGCCCTCTAGGTTCCATGAAAAAGAGCCATAATTTTTTAAAGTATAGTCAGTGATCAAATTTTCCCAGTTGTCTCATAAATATTTATTTCACAGTTGTTTTTCTCATATCACTATCCAAATAAGGGCCTTGGGGCCGGGGATTTAGCTCAGAGGCACAAGTGCCTGCCTGGCAAGGGCAAGATTATGAGCTTGATCTCCGGTACCAAAAAAAACCCCACAAATAAGGGCCATGTTGTAGTGGTGTCTCCAGTATATTTTTAGATTTAAGCTATAGCTCCCTGGCCCTTTCCTTCTTGCTATTTTTCTCACAATGTGTAAGTTGGTTGTCCTGTAGAGTTTCCAGCAGTCTGCATTTTGGTGACAAGACTGCCTCTGCTTAGGGAAAACAGCTCCGGCAAGCAGACAAGCTCTGAGTCTGGTTGCACCGTGCTAGCTCCTGGGAGCTCTCAAAGCTCTTGCTTCCAAGGCCAAATTGAAGACAAATGAGGTGATATTCTCTGGACCTGGGGTCTGTGCAAAGCCCAGTATGCTTGGAAGCTTCCCACATGACCCTCTGGTGCAGCCCATTTGAGAACAGCTGATCTCAGAAAAGGCAGCACATACAAGGTAGATCTTAATGAAACAGAACAGCTGGAAGAGTCAAACACCAAAAACAAAAACCAAAAAAACCAATCACACTCTTAGGGTTGAGTGTCAGACCATAGCTTATGCTGATACAGCAAAGTACCTAGATACACCTCACACTACTGTAAGCACAGGCCAGCCTCGGGAGGCATTCTGCCTGGCTGCACTAATCAGACCCTCTGAGGAGGACGAACTGTGGGGATGACAAACACAGCAGCAGTTGCCAGAGGTTTGGGTATGAGAAAAGGCTGACTAGAGCGACAGCTAATGCCACACAAAGTGGTGACCATCCGTATCCCAAGCTGCTCAGGAGGCTGAGGCCGGAGGGTCACAACTTTGGGTCCAGCCTGGGCAACTTAATGAGATCATGTCTCAAAAAATAAAAAAAGTTAGGATGTAGCTCAATGTGAAGGCTATGGGTTCACTGGCTAGCACTGTTTAAAGGGGAGGAGTGGCTGAGGGAATCTGGGGGTTGATGACACTAGTATCTTGACTGTAGTAGTGGATACACAGCTCTATACATTTGTCAAAACTCAGAATTACACACCAAAAGGTATGACTTTAAAAAAAATCGCTTGTAAATTAAAGTTTCTTGTACTGCTGGGGACTTGAACCCAAACCCAGGGCTTTCATGCATGCTAGAAAAGTGTTCTACCCTTAAGCTACATCTACAACCCAATATAAATGTCTTTTTAAAAAAAGCCTTGAGATCACAGTGGCCAAAAAACATGTTAAAAATTCATTTTACTGGTCTAAAGAGATTCTAACTTTTGCTTTTAAAAATGGCAAAGAAAATGCCAGTTATGCGTTATTTATTTTATGTCTAGGGGGAGGGAGTCCTGGGAATTTGAACCCAGGGTCTCAAGTGACCATTTTTTTACCTTCATATCAGCAATACTTGCCTCTGCTTTTTTGTCCATCTTTATTTTATCTTCCCCATTTAAAGACATAAACCTGTTACTCTCCTGTTCAAATCCTTCCCGTGGAATCCCATCACCCCTAAAATGTCAGATCCTTCCCAAAGCCTCCAGGGGTCTGGATACACTCACGACTTGCTCCTCCTCCTACCTCAGGCTTCTGTGTGCTCTCCTGAAATATCAGGCATATGCTTACCTTTGGGCTTCAGCACTTGCTGTTCCTCTAGCTGCTGTTGCTATTCGGGGCTCCAAATTTTTATTACGCTCTTTCTTATGTCACCCTTACCCCAGAGAAACTTTCTGTAATCATTCTACATAAATCAGCACTGCTCCTATCTTACAAAACACTCTATCCTCTTACCCTGTTCAATTTTTCTCGTATCACTTATCATTACATGAAATTTATTTGGTTATCACTTGCCCCCTCACTCCCCAAATGTGAGCCCCTGTGTGGAGGAATTCCCTTATTCCCGGCACCTAGAATGGGGCCTGGGGCCTGTGAGCACCCCATACACCCCGTGTAACAGAACGAACGAGCATCAGTCCACAACAGTGGCAGGAATGATGTGCCTGTTTTTCATTAGTCTGCTTGGTTTTGCTTTATAGGGGCTCTTTATGTAGTAAGAACTTATGTAGCTGAAATATAGACTTACGTACTTATTAGATATTTTAAGTAAATAGCATATGGCTATATGAAGGCTATTTATTATGCCTTGCTGAGGCATCTTTGTTTTTCCCTTGATCCTCAATTGATATAAATCATACTTACCTCTTAAAGTAATTTCACTTCACTCATTTTTTCCATGTTTTCAAAAATAGCAGTAAGTTTTTGTCTTATTTTTATGACTTTGTATTTTTGTCTTGTTATTTATGAGGCACTTTAAAAAATCTTTCTCATTAGGATTTATTACTGATGAGAACTCCTTTCTTTGGGGCAGTGGTCTGCTTCACCAGATTCACATTATGCCTTACTCTTCCCAGATAGAGCACCTCTTAAAGAACAAGCAAAGCCGTCTCACCAACTCTAGGAGGACACCAAGAACTAAGGGGTGGGCTAGGGCCCTCCTAATGCAAACATCAGAATCAGACAGCATTTGGCAGGACCAGAACCAGGTGTCCTTGTGGCTATCCCATTCAAGGAGAAGCTGCCATTTAGGAGGAGGAGAGATTGTAAAACTTGGGGAAAACTCCGGTACTGTGTACAGGTGAGCAAGCCAGAGCCCTGAACAAGAGGACCAGAATATTTAATTCTGGCCACTTACAGGACAACTGCGAACCCAAACCCCAATTTAGTGGTTTTAACAGCTACTATAATACTACTATACCAAAAGCACTTTTTTAGATTTCTAAGGAAATACACCTTTTAAAGATTCCTTGTTCAACTTTACACTGGAGGTGTTTTGTTTTGGCAATGCCAAAACTCATTCCTGGGCCAGGGATTTAGCTCAGCAGCATAAGCACCTGCATTGCAAGCACGCAGTCATGAGTTCGATTCCCGGTACCAAAAGAAAAAAAAAAAAACACCTCATTCCTTCTCTAACTGGAAAAACATATTGGTTTCGATCCCAGCTGCAGCTGAACTCTGGCTTAGATCTTCAAATAAAATGAAACATTGCCCTTTATGATTCATGGTGTATACATCATCGCAAAATTCAGATGCCAGAATTAAATTGCTAAAGACTTAGGGTGTGATTTCGTGTAATAATTCTGAGGTCATTTAGTATCATATATGAAAAGAACAAACCCTAAATGACTCTTCACATTTACAAGGAATCCCTCAGAAACAGTAATGCCAACCGAAACACTTTCATACTCCTTTAATCTCACAAAACTGAACAGCTCCTACTAAAAAGTAACATTTAAGCCAAATACAGTGAACGCCTGTAATTTCAGCACTCAAGAGGCTGAGGCCGGAAGAGTTAAAGGCCAACCTGAGTTACATAATGAGACTGTCCCAAAAACCAACAGTAACATTTAATGCTTCCAAATTTTCAGATATGACATGGCATATGAAATTAATTTTACCTCAGGCCTCAAATACCAGATGTTCCCCTGAACGTTTAAAGTGAATGTTACTGTGAAAACTTTCATCTTTACACTCTTCTATAGGAAAATTACATTGCCCTCTTCTGTTTCTCCAGAATTCTACAGCATCCTGAACATGGGCATTGGCTAATCAATCCACAATCCTTTGTGGAATTTGTGGTCTTCAACAATAATGTGAACGTGTTCTGTGTTGTAACCCTGATCCTGGAGTCCATCGATGTAGGTAAGAAGGCTTTTCTCCTCCCTGCTCTGGGTGTCCCAGAAGGCTCACTTTCTCATGTAAACATCTGAGCACTCATAGCATATTGGTACTTTAGACATTGTCTCTATGGTCATTCTAACTCGGCAAGGGCAGCACCTTAAATGATGACACTTCCCTTTCAACTGACTTTTAGTGAAATTACCATTTCTCCAACAGCTCTACATATGATTGAGTTAATATGCATGGCAGCTCTAAAGGAAATATTAAATGGTGTTAAGACTCTGACACATTTCAAAATGATCAAACAGGAACAGCTGGAGTTATTTTGAAGATAGCAGGGGTTTTTTTTTTGTTTGTTTGTTTTTTTTTTTTTTTTTTTTGTCTTTTTCCTTTTTGTCGGTACCAGGGATCCAACTCACGACTGCCTGCTTGGAAGGCGCTTATGCCGCCGAGCTAAATCTCCAGCCCCAAAGATAGCAGTTTTAAAGACTCTTGATTCCAGGCATTTTGTCCTCAGGCACTTCACCTCAAGACTGGACAGTTTAACTTGCCTTCAGACATCAAAGGGCTTTGCCTGGACTATTTTCACACACATCATCTAGTATGTACTAATTTGTTGCTATAATTGTGTACAGGTTAATTAAAAATGTTACACGGGAGAAATAGTTGCCAGACTTTACCTGGGGAGCTCCACAATAACCTATGAGGAGAACCACAGCTACATTGGTCCTTTACAGAGGCTCAACTATTTACAGACCATTTTTTCATGTAGAATAGCTGTTTCAATTTTAGGAATTACAAAATTAACTGTGTAGGAATATTTTGTGTACAGTTTTATCACTCCTATATGAAGCACTATCAAAAAGTATGCTAAACCAGGCAAGGTGGTACATGCCTGAAATCCCAGCACTCAAGAGGCTGAGGCAGGAGGACCACTGCAGTTCAGGCCAGCCTGGCCTACATAGTGAGTTCAAGGCCAGCCTGAACTGCATAGTGAGATCCTATCTCAGACAAAAAAGAAAGAAGAAAAGAAGGGGGAAAACATGCTGAACAGAAAGTATTCAAAAATATGATTGCACTCAGTATACTCAGGCCGTAATTCGGAGTCCAAGGAAAGATGTGAGAAGTGCCCAGGTGTGTGCTTTGCCTGTAGAAGTCAGCAATATTCATAACACTTTCTTATAGAAAGTCCGAGCTAATCTTTTGGATAAGCGGTGTTAACTGTGATGTCTGCTGAGGCTGCGTCTGCAACAGCACAGGTAGAGGTTCCTCACTGAGAAACATCCTGGGTACAAGGACAATCTTCATTAGCATTGTCATCTTGGGGGCCTGACATGAGGTGCACCTCTTTACACGGCCCAATACCGTCATGATTGAGACAGGCAGAATATTGACTTTCCCACCTCATGCCATTTCCTGACAACTGGGAAGCATTGTTTCAAACTGCTCTTCTTTCTCCACCACCCTATCAGACTTGTATTTGTGTATGAATTAAAAGTAGAGCAGACTGATATTCTCAGCAAGTATAAAGATACCACTGATAGTTGTGTTGAAAAACTTTTCTGCATTCATAGTGCTTAGGTACGTTCTTCCCAGTGTTACTATACTTAGATTTCACAGAGCAAGGACCTGGAACTGGCTACTATTTTGAACACTGGCCAATGAAGTCCAGGACATGACAAATAATCATTTTTTAAGCCACAAGGGTTCATCCTTTAAATGCAAAGGGGACTGTTCTTTGGCTTGGATGTTCATCCATTAACACTAACACGTTTGATGATCCTTTGGGCGCTCTCTCTGGTCTTTCCCACTGGGAGAACAAATCTGTTTGGCACACTACAGCCAATGAGTAACACCTGGGCCACTAGTCTGTGTAAGACTTTTCCTGGGGCACTGTCCCAAGCAGTCCTTGTAGGGAACTGTTAAATAGGAGTGGAGGTTCATGCAGCTTCAGTAATGACAGCTGGTGGAGCCCAGCCTGTTACGTGGCACTGCCTAAGTCTTAGCCAAGAACTGATGTCAGTTCTGGGTGTGGTCTTTCCAGATAAACTAGTTCCTGCGATATAAAAGTATGAATATTCTCTCACAAAGCAAACATTCCTAATTTCCAATTTATTATGCATCTTTCTGTTCTCAGCATTCACCTAGTAGAAAATCATTTACTTACTGCCAAACAATATGGGGTGGTTGAGACTGGCAAGGAAATGGCACACCTCACTGGGCTAACTCATGTTTTCAGAGATTCCAGTTAAGACTGTGACAGCACACGACCCTGGTCTTGATGTCTAGGATTAATCTGAAATCAAGATTTCATGTTTCAAATTTCTACAGCACAATTCCCAACCAATGTAAGAACAGGCTATCCTAGAAAGCATTTGATCTAACAGGGCATTAAGCGGTTACATTTTAGCAGTAGGAGCATAGTACAAACAACAATCACAAGAATGCCTCTCACATTTCATGCTGAGTAACTGTCAGCTTTCCTTGCTAAGGGTTTTTATCAGCTTCTGTGAGGCTAACAGGAACTCTGTGACTCACTTTGTGGGCTTCCTTGTTCTGCTGGCAATTGTGAGGTATGGGAGCTGCAGCATTACTGAGGATGAGTCATCTGCAAACCCCTAAGCAATGCCTGCTGATCATCCTAATCCTGCTGACCAGCTATGCCAGACTTAAGCCCCACAATCACTCTTTCCTAAATGCTGTGATCTTTCAGTAACATTCCTTCCCTCAGAAAAGGGCACCTTATGGAAAACCATCAGTTCAAGTTGGCAGTGAGTTGTGGAGAAAATGTCATAGAATAAGCAAGCTGGGCCTAACACATCTCTGCCACGTGGAACTGCCCATTGCAACATGCATGACTGTCTCCTTCAGCAGCTCCTACCACCTAATGGGACTGCCCCACGTCCCCAGAGGGAGTGTCAGGTACAAGCCACCACTGGTTCAGAACTACCTGGTACAAAGACTCATAAATCAGAGCCCTGTGTGTGTGTTACACTGGCCATGGCAGCACATGCCTGTAATCTCAGGTGAGAGCAGCAGGGAGACCAATTCAATCTTAGCCTGAGCTTTTTGTTCCAAAAATTTAGGGGGAAAAAGTGAGGTTGTGTTTAGTAGTGTGATTTAAACCATTTCTCTTACCTCTAATAAGGACTAGGTAATGTAGTAGTGTGGAAGTCAAATTTGTGTGAAAATACTATGCAACTACAAAGCAACTCTGCAGTTCTCAAGCATATTTTTGGGAGGGGGGTAGTGGGGATCAAACTCATGACCTTGCACTTGCTAGGCAGGCACTTACACCATTGAGCTAGAAACCCCTGAGCCTTTAATCACACTAATTTGAGTGACCACGAGTCTACATTCCGCTGGCTCTATGCTGGCCACATCACCAAGCACCTCAGAACAAACTGCAGTTGGCCCCCCTGACTGGCCTTTCCCCCTTTGTTCAGCTTAATGCTGTTTGGATGGTGCATCTGACTACCAGACTTGCTTCAGCTCAGTACTGTGGAATTTCTTACCCAAAGAGGTAAGGAGATCCTGGTTTCTCTGCAGAACTTTGTTCGGTTTAACAGCTCTAACTTGAGGGGAACTGCCAATTCAAACAGTCCACTGCTGCATGCCAAAGGAGAATTTAGCTCCTGTTCAGTTTTATGGTAGTACCTATGCATAATTTTTGAATGGCTATTGCATTCAGCACTCTGTCCTTTCTTGCAGATTTGGGGGGGGGTAACTGGGGATTGAACTTATGACCTCGCACTTGCCAGGAAGGTGCTTATGCTGCAAGCTAAATCCCCTGACCCTTTTTTTTTTCTCTGTCCTTTCTTAAGTACTTAGTTTCCTCTTTATTCCCTGTATCCATGTCCAAGGAAAAGGGGGCTGAATTTGTATATCCTTATGCAGAGTGGTAAGTTGCTGCTTTTTCCATGGTCCTTTGATACTGCCTAATTGAAGGAACTTTATTCTCAGAAAGAACTGCATTCTTTTTTCCATAAGCATTTCTCTTTATTTTAAGCAATGGGCTATGTAAAATGTGCAGCTTTATCTCAACATGAAAATATTTTAATGCATGACATTCTTATCTGATGATGGGTTTCACATTATCTGTGCATCTGTTCAGAGCAACTCATCCACCACTCTTCCATTCTGTAGGAAATAGAAAAGCCATCAGCACAGAGGGACAATGATCACAGAATCACAATGTCTGAGGCTTTTAGAGGTCACTGGTGCCCTCCTTCTGAGGGCTAGTTTCCATTTCTTCATGGTCACAAAACTGTACAAGGCAGTTATTGAAGGCTGTTTGTATGATTTTTCCCCCTCTAAAGTTCTCTCCGCTTTTGCTTTTCTATGCAGTAGTTGACCTGCTCATATCCTGCCTAGTTGCATCAATGAGTTCTTTAGTTTTCTCAGTTCTTTACTCCTTTCATCTACGATGTCCTGCTTAAACCTTCACAGTCATACAGTCCTGTGTGGATTCCACTGGCACTGAGCTGTAAGAAGGGGCTGGATTTTGGTCTGGTGCTGACAGGGAACTTGCTGCCATTCACTGCATTCAAACTGCACTATTTCTATTTACAGCTAATACTCATCTCAGTGAGCCTATTACTTTCCCCCACAAACTACTAACCCAAACCAGTCTTTCTACTCAACATAACAGGCAAAGTAGGCTTATCACAAATGTTCTGAGAAGTTTACACTAATAAAAGCATTACACAATGTGTACGTATACCAAAACATCAAATGGCACCCCATAAATATACACAAGCCTTTTCTGCTTTCAATATAACTGTACAACATTAAGGAAAAAAGCGGGAAAAAAAATCTTGCGCGTTAATTGGTCAACGGGAATTTTAAGTGGATGGATACAGTGGTGCTTGGAAATAGCGTCACAGACTTGGTTCACAGTGGTGGTGTAGGTAAAAATTGAGTAAGTTATTACAGTTTAAAAGTGTCCCAGTTTAAAAAAAAAAGGGCCAATATAAGGGAACATAAGAATCACGTAGAAACTATTCTAAATAAAACCTGAATTTGTAAAGATCCTTTGATGCAGAAAACCAGGGGGCAAAGGTCAATACTCAGACCTTTAAAAATGTTAACTGGAAAAAATACTAAATTTTTTAATGATTTTTTAAATTGGAACCTTCCTGTGTTCAGAGAATCTCCACATGGTGGCAGAGGTGGTTTTTCATGATCACTTCTGGTATGGATAATTTCCATATGTGTTGGCACATCTTGAGGCTTCTATGTTAAATATATTTTCCAGACCTACCAAAACTCAGATGGAATCTGAATAATTTACAATTTCACTACAATTCAACTACTTTCTATAAAAACTGTTGAGGTCAAAATACTTTATCATCATCTTATGTCCACTTAAAATTTAGTACCCTTTGGGGCCTCAATCTAGTTTCTAATGCATGTTGGCTTAAGAACACGCACCACATGCGGCACATAGCTTGCTTATGGGGTAGAAACTCAGATGTCACTGTAAGTGTACAGTGACACAATCACTGTAAGTCTCTCACTGTTTTCTGAGGTCTCTGCATTACACCCAGTCCTGGGCGCCTTTCTGGTGCTCACCAGTGTCATAGTGATGGTTCTAGTGATTAGCAATCTTTTTTGTTTTGGCCATTCTCATGGCCTTTGGAAAACAAAGTCCCTTTAGGTGGGTGACTCTTGCTCATTAACTACCAGATAAACTATCATGGTTTTCCACCATCAGAAAAGGAAAAGCATTGCAGACTTAACATAATGCACAAAATCAGAATTTTAGTTCCAACAACTTTTCCCAGGAAACCAAAGTTGCCAGGACATTATGCTCTGTAGCCACTGTCTCATAAATATATAGCTGATGCTTGACTATTAAGGAGTAGAAGTAAAAAATACTGTGTATGGAGTAAATCACTAAAGAAGTACATCTTTACCATGCACTATTTACTATTTTTTATGTTTAGTACATTTTTACTCTAAAAATTAGTAACAATCTCAATTTTTCTCTTTTTTCTCCATTTGTCTTTGAATATTCAGAAAGAAGCTGCACTGACAACTATGTTGCTATAGAAGTTTTCAATTTTATTAGGAATCTGGAAGCACCAGAACCCCTCATCTGAGAAGTAGCAATAACAGATATCAATGACACTAAAGTATGAGACAGTGAAGTATCCTAATCTTGTTACCTCCTTACTTTGGTTTAGTTCTTCCTAGTATATTACTTATCTTTGCATGGCATAGTTTAGGAAATTATTTATAGATGCATATAAAATTCTGTCTTAATTCTGTAAGTTACCAAGGAATCAAAGTTCCCTGGGCTCCAAGTTCTTGTTTGTGGATCTTGGCACTGTTTGGAAGAGAGTAACACTGTAAAAATAACAACGGTAATAAACCAGCTCTGCTGCAAGCAGTAAGCAACAGGACACTGATCATCCATGCCCCAGGAAAGCTATAGGAAATGAGTAAGTCAGTGGTGAGCCCATTACAATCATAAGATGTACAATCATGAGATGTGGCTGAAGGGGTGTCCTAACACAGACAAGGAACCAACAAACTCACAGATGCTACCTTGGCTTTTAAGTTCAAAGAGGACACTAAAGGGCTCTATGTATGCTCATTACTAGGGGAGCCAACGGTAAAGGCTGACTCTGGCTTGTGTACCAATGTGAGCTGCTTGCTTAAAATATTCTCCACTAAAACCTAAATTCATACTTTATCATTTGACCAACAGTGGAGAAAGCAAGACATCAGATCTTTAACTTTATTAGCAGCTACTAAGCTATGAGATACAAACCAATCAAAAACACTAAAGAAAAGTTACTTGAAACAGATATACAGATACATTACATGGAAGCCAACCTTGTGGGGAAGGATGGGCCTACCGTGGGCACAAAGGAGCACGAGTTATAACAGAGTCTCATTCACCCAGGAAAGCAATGAGTTACAGCCACAAGGGCACTAAAAGTTTGAGATCACTTTTTCAAGATTCCTTTAATCATGAAGTTTTCAAATGAAAACAGGTGTCTGTCTTCTTCTGTAGGTTTTCCAGCTCACTACCCAAGAGACTTGAGTACATCTATTAAGGCAGTTGGAAGCCCACCATAGGCTCAAATGGCACCTTCTATCCAGTATGTTACCTGTCCCCTTCCTTTGCTAGTATCATGCTATGGGGAAAAGTAAATTTCTGTAGTGCTATCTTCGGGTAAAAGAAACACGGCATTCAAAATAAAACAAAAGGCCACAGAGGGCTCCCTGAGAATCCAGTAGAATGAAGAGAGGCCTTCAACTTTTTCCAAATAAACTTTGCAACTGGATCCAGATGGAACAGTGCCCTGCAGCGAGTAGTGTATATGCCATGAAGAGGGCCCAGCTTCTAGGAACTGTTACTATGACTTCCTGAACCATTTTCTCTCTTACTCGTGAGAAAACACACCACAACCTTGTGTCTCACCACAACTGCCCTCTACAGAGGGGTTTGTTTCTAAGTCTGGAACTTCAACACAGGGCTAAGACACTTCATGAGATGCTTTTCCCTCTTCAGCCATCTCTGGCAGCTCTCACCACACGTTTCATCTTCTCATTCCCCCGGGGAGGGCTAGGTCACAGGAGAACCTGGGATCCCTCTAACAGGAAACAGGCACAGCTGCCAGGAGCCAGCTGCTCTGGCCTCAGAGTGTCCAGATGTTAGTCTCTTAGGATCAGTAGAGAACTGGGAAGCAACAGAATCTGGTAGAGTAGGAAAGAGTCCCCAGAAGGAGTGTGCTTGGTGATGATTAATAGATGAAACAGAAATCCATGGAGATTCTTTGTGTACAAGGAGAAACTGCGCAGTTTCATCTCCCCGAAGTTGGAGGCATTCTAGGTTAAGAGACCTATGTTTTCTTTTTCAGCTCTTCAAATCTCCGGGAAAGATCATCAAAGTCAATGTCTTCAGATGCTGAGGTGCCGCCGCCAGCAGATGCCGTCGGTAGTGTGTCTGGCACAGATGGCAACTCTGGTAGGACAAAGTTGTAGTTATCTGCAGGTCTAGGAGGGGCTTTTGCAGCTGCTTCAGGCTTGGGTCCAGGACCTAATTAAACCAGGCAAGCACAATGTTAAAAGCAATAATGTGGCTCAGGTGTCACAATGTCTTTAGGCGGGGAGTGAGGAGTGGTGATTGGGGGTACATGTCAAAATTTAGACAAAAACATCTACATTTCTTAATTATAGTTGAATCTTAGCTACTATACTTTCAAACAGAGAGAAACAAGTTTAAGGTAAGTTAAAGTATGGTACATAGGGCCAGGTCCAAAGATCAGTAAGAGACTGCTATTTCACAAAGCTCAAGTCCCATAAAAACCAAGTCCAAAGTGAGGTACTAGCATTTATATAGCAAATATTGCTTCCATAAGAACTACTTTTTAAAACTTTAAGGAGGAATTTTTTATAAGATTTAATTGCCTGTTCTGTATTTCTAGTCTTCCATTTTGTATTTTTTAGTAAAACTATCCTCTTCTCTCCCTGCAGTATGCTTTTACTTAAAGTTCTAGAACAGGCAAAACTAAATGATAGTAAGTCAGAACTGAATGAGGGTAGAACTGACTGGAAAGAAACACAAGAACTTACCTTGTAGTGGTGAGTCTGGGTATAAATCAAACTATACAAAGTCTCTTTCTTACATGTAAGTTATGCCACAACAGAATTAATTGTTTTAAAGCTGTGGTTTTGGAGTGGTAATAATTGAGCGGATGGCTTATACAAACATTCACGATTTGTGCCTGTTTTTCTCTCCTGAATGTCTCTTTCTTCACATTCTACTGTGGGTGTGGTGTTTTGAGATAGGAGCTCGCTGCATAGGCCAGTGCAACCTTAAACTATGTATCCCAGGCTGGCCACACATTCACAATCTTCCTGCCTCAACTCCCAAATGCTGAAATTACAAGTGTGTGCCACCATGCATGGCTTAACACCCCACCTTTTTTAAAAAAAAGTTTAATTTCCAGGTTCCACGTAGCACCAACAAGAACCTGAAAGTGACTGAAAAGCTAGAAGACAAAAAAGTCAGAACTAAGTGGAAAGTAACAGTAATACCATCGGGCAGAAACAGAGAACTTGGGAGATACTTTTTATGTTTTGAAGAAAGAAATGCTGGACCCTGTACCAGCCATACTACAATTAGGGAAAGGGCAGGGTACACATGGATAGCATGCCATGCACACAGAATGAACAATGAGAAAATGGCAGAGGGTTCAACACTGGGTCTTCTCACTCACCAACAATCTGTGCAGAAGAGATATTCTTATCAGCATTAATGTCATCAACCTGCAACACAAAGATTGTTACAACAGGAAAAAGCAATGGCATCACTAGAGAAAGTAACAATATTGATGCAGCTGTGTTTCCCACAGCTAAGCTACTCCAAAGAAATGCCACTCTACTTCCACACATCCTTTTTACTTTCTTTTTAAAAAGCAGGAAAAAATACAAAAGTAGAAATCATGTGGTACTCTCAATTGCTCAACAAGAGCAAAGTTCTTAACACACTATGATCCCTTTTCTACCTTTGGGGCAAAGAGAAAGAACTGAACCACTGAATATATCTCTAAGAACCAAGTCCTGAAATGCTAATGAAGATCTTCTACCTCATTTCTACAAACAGTTTAAAGCCATGCTTTGACACATGCAAGACTAATGCAGCAGGGGGAGGAGAAAAAAAATTCAGGCCCAAAGTAAAAATGCATCAGCTAGAGATTAAAGCTAATGGAAAGAAAATAAGATTAGGGATAGGGATTACTTTATAAATGAATGATTTACATAGCAACTGCCATACCCATATGTTTTCTCAGTAAAGTATCTGATAAAAACAAGTCTCAAAAAGCATATACTAACTGAGGAAACAAGGTTGGCAGAAAATCTGATTCTGAAGCAAAGCAGTTATAACCATCTACAGTTCAAGAAATCATTACCACAGTAGCTATTTATGGAAGGTTTTTTTTTTATACTGGAAATTGAACTCATGACCCATGCTTGCTAGGCAGGTGCTATGCTACTGAGCTATATCCCCAGCTTATGGAGGTTTTAACTACAAGACTGAAATGTGAAATCAATGCCATATTCTGAAATTTACTAACACTTCTTAAGAATAAAACTCTGGTTATGATTCGAGTGTTGAAAACTAATAATAATTATAGTCCAACATAAAAGACTATTCCAGCTCAATATGCTTGTCTGTCTAGCTAGCTGAATACATGTAACTGGTTAATAAGACACTACAACCCTGTAAAAACTGCAGCTCTTTCCTGACTCCTGGCTTCACTGCAGACAAAGCATGCCCACCAGTATAGCTGCTGCAGCTTCTACCAACACCACCCCATGTCCAGGGCAGTGTAGAAGCAAAAGAAAAATCCCAAAGCAAGGACAATGCCAATGCTAGAGTTGATCAAAACTTTGCCTTCCCTGTGGTCTTCATGTGATTCACTCTCCTGTTGCTTATAAAAGAAGCTCAGGCACTTACAGATTCATACGATGGGGGAGTGGCTGGTATCTGAGGTGGATGAATATTTGGAAAGGCCTGATAAGTTCCCACTGGCAATCCATTGAAATCTGACTGCAAGGGGGAAAAAGGCAGTATCAGAGACACTGGGCTTGATTTGCAATTTCTGAAGAGGGAAAATACATAATATATGTATTCAGAATGAAGATAAATGTATTCAAGATCTCCCTACCAAAAAATGCTCAAAAGGGCCAAATGTTGTCGGAAGAATTTCAAGATTTTTAAAGATCTACAACCAAAGGCTATTTTTCAAATCTAAATTGCTTCAATGTCTGTCTAGAAGGGGAAAATTCTAATCAGACTTTCTCATTACCAATGCCTACTAATGACTTGCCTATAAATATGGTTTTTCTGCCTCATAATAAATGGAAAAAACTATTAGCATGACATCAAAAGATGTTCAATAACCCTGTATTTAAAATATTTTTGGAGAATACTCTATATACTTTTCTATTTTGTTACAGCTAAACCAAGACTGAATATCTTTTTTCATAATATGACCACTAACCTAATATCAAATATCATTGCTAAATGCTCCCAAAAAACTCTAATACCCAAGTGCATTCAGAGGCCCTATTTGTGATTTCTTACAGTTTACATCTACATTTCATATATACTTACTGGTCCCTTTGGCAATGGATATGAGAAAGGAGTGTTAGGAGATGGCATGGGCATAGGCATAGGCATGGGCATTGGCACTGTTCCATCATGTCCACCAACAGGTGCTGTGAACCCGCCACCTCCTCTTCCAGGACCACCTTTCTTCACATCATCTGTAAATCCAACGTCAATGAGATCGGTTTCTACCCCAGGAGGAGCTTCTGCCTGAGAAAAAGAGGGAAACTTGTATTACTAACCCATCATCCCAGGTTTCCAAGGAAGCAGACTGTAAGAGGTACAGATTGACAAAGTTTGCTGCACAGTGCTCTTGAGACTAACACTTGAAGGGAAAGCAAAGCAAGGGTGTGGCAGATGGACAGTGATGTGAGGGGACAACATTGGACTGCAAAGCAGTCACAAGAGAGGACTCTGCCAATTCCCCAGGGAACCCTGGAGCTGGACTGGACCTACAAAGATGTCCCCAAACAGAAGAAAGGCACAAGGTCTTTTAAACTAAACTAACTAAACTAAACACAGGCTGCCTCTCCCAAAGACTCTGGATGAAGCGGTACTTTTCAGGATAGGGCCATCTCTGAAGAAATACTCAACTGTGTATGAGATGCCAATTATCAACATTTTTGAAAGTTGAGAAAATAAATGTTTCTGTGTTAATGTCTGTCTGGAGGTAGGGAATGTGAGCAGTACACCAAAGCTGCTTCAATACCCCATCAATCTTATCTGCTAGATAATTATTACTTGCCTATTTACCCTTAGAAACAAATCTCCTATTCTGAAAGTCTATGTACATTCTCAGTTCTGGCCTGAGGTGGCCAGATGAACTGTTTAGGTCTTGCTAGCTACGGGGGATTTGCAATTCCTTCAAGTTCACTAGAAAGTAGTAACAATGCCACTTTACATTTATATCAAAGCTTGCAACTTCTCAAAAGTACTTTCAGTCACTCATATAATCTGATCCTTAACTACCTAGACAGATACACAGCCATAGTTAGTCTTACCCAAATAACAAAGTCTTAAAACTTACACATACCAACTTAAATTAGTGCAAAGAGTATGTATGGTTGGTTTTTTTTTTCAAAGAAAATCATCTCAAGAGACTCATTTTCCTTTGTGCTCTGGGATAAACTTACCATGACCACAGAGTCAGGTTCATAGGGTACATTGTAATTCTTGGCAATTTCAATCAGGTATCTCTCCACTAGGATTTTGGGTGGGGCTTCCACACTCAGTTTATGCATTAGCTGTAAGAAGACTAAAGGTTAAGATGTATCTCTTCCAACCAGCCCAATTCTAACCTGTCTCTTTTTAAACTTAGTTTCTCTTAGAAGCAAAATTGAGAAACAGGACCAAAGCAGTTACATGACTTTTTCTTTTCCAGAGTCACCAGTACAATATAGAACCCTATCTTGCACATTCTCTAGTTATAAATGGTTCATGTATTAATAAAAGACTAACATTATGGCCTTTCACACTTGTATTCATCCCTTCTCCCTACTTCCCATGTTTATAGCTCATAAAGGGCACAAAGGAGGGGGAGGGGAAGTCAGCAATCACAGAGCATTATGATCAGAGAGGCTGTGCAGAGGAAAGGAGATGATTACGCTGTCACCTACCCAGGCTTTCTTCTCAACCCCGCTATGAAACACACAGCCCCTGATTAACTCAGCTATTCAGTGGTACTAGCATCACTGCAGGCAGTAAAGTAAACCACTCCCATGCAAGTACAGTGGCACACGCGTGTAATCCCTGATAGTTGTGACACTGAACGGGAAGATAGCAAATTCAAGGCCAGCCTGGGTAATTTAGCAAGTCATGGGTTTAACGGAGGGATAGTAGGTGGAGGGATGGCACATAAAGATGGGGACACAGGACAATACCCTCATAGACTGCTTCACATTTACCAAGTACATTCATTACCCGGTCATTAACAGTTCCAATCTGGTTGGTCCTACATAACTTGCCATATTCTTTGCTGTACTTGGCACAGAGCTGATCAGCAACCTACAGAGGAAAAAAAGAGTAAATAAAAACTGCTTATATTACTCTGTTTCAAGCTTCCTTGTGCCAACATCAAACATGCTTCATTACACAATTCTCCCAAAACTGAGGTATATAAAACATTAATTAATGAACTTGTTTATTTATCTATCCAACAAGCAACAACCAAATACCAAAAACTATTAAAAGCATTATCATATGCACTATAACACAGTGAACAAAAACTCTGTTCATAATCATAAGTGTCTCACCAAATAGTAGTTACAGATAGTATATAACTATAACCATGATAAGTGTTACAAAGGGAAGGCATACCACAGTATTATCAGCATATAATGGGAGAGTTGTATCTGATCAGAAAGTTAGATGAGCTTGCCTGAGGCTTTGCCAAGATTTAAAAATGACTAGAAGTTAATTGAATAAGAAGGCAAGAGCATTCAAGGAAAAACCAACAGCATGTGAAAAGGCCTCCTGTAGTTAATACATGGCTAACATTCAAGTGTGAAAGTCAGGAGTATGCTGAGAAATGAAGAAAGCAAGCAAGTGAAGCCAGGTGTGGTGGTGCACTCCTATAATCCCAACACTTGGGAAGCTCAGCCTGGAGGACTGCTGCAAGTGTGAAGCCAGCCTGTGCTACATAGTAAGTTCAAGGCCATTCTAAATTATGTAATGAGACACCCCCCGCAAAAAAAGTGTGAGACCCGACAATGCAAGGCCATATAGGTCACATCATCATACCATGCTTTGTTTCTAGCGGTAGTGATAGGATTAGATCTGATATTTGAACAAAACCCCCAGGTAGTTCTTATGGCATGAATAGACTAAGGAAGCTAAAGTAGATGTAGGAAGAAAGAAGCTACAAAAATTCAGGAAGGAGATAATAATGGTACTGTATGGTTCCAACATTCTGGGAGTCCAGAAGAAGAACTTCTTACTATGTATTATGTGAACTATCACAAGTACCAAGTACTACAAATTTTCATTTGTCTTTTGACCTTTTTTTTTGCATTGTATACAGGGTTTAAATATTTTTATTACATTATCATTCTTTGTTTATGGCTTTTTGGTTCAACAACATATTTAAACCTTTTCCAGTAAGAGACTGTTTTCAAATGAGTATGGGGAAAGTTTATATAAGAAGCAGTTGTCTCTTCTCTCCTACTCATAAAACCTGGTATCTACCTTGTCCTCTATCTTTCATCAGAATATCGGAGATTAAAACATAGAAAAAGTAATTTAAAAGACAAAATTGAAGGAAATAAAATTAAAGATGCTTAAAACTCTACTCCTTAAAAATATTCAAATTTGCTTTACAAAAATGCTATTTGGCTTTGTAATATAAGGTATGAAAAGGAAAAACAACTTTACAAAGCCTATTTCAGTAGTGGCAGAAGGATACAAAAAAAACCTTGTTGAATAAGCAGAAGTGACTCATAATAACAAACCTTTCTGACACCTGAGAAACCACAGACACCACTAACAGAGGTTGTACTCACTATTTTTAACTCGGCCACTTCTGACTGGAGTCGAGGAGCAGCCCAGATCAGTGTAGACACAGATTCAGCCAGACCAGAATCTAGCTCTCTAATAAGGAAAAAAATTAATATAGCATTTTAAAAAACAAACCAATGTAATCCTTGGTATTCTATACTTGTTTTCCTCTTAAGTTATTTTATAACTCTCACTGGATTCTCAAGATAATTCTAACCTTGTAAGCATTTCTTTACCCTATTTTAAATTTGGGGAGATTCAAACTAAGAAATCCAATAGTCAGGAAATAGCTAAGCCAAGTCTCAAATTTAGAGGCCGGACACGGTGGCATATGCCTATGATTCCAGCACTTGGAAGCTAAAGCAGGAGGACTGCCTCGAGTTCGAGGTCAGCCTGGGTTACATAGTGAGTTCAAAGCCAGCTTGGACTCCCTAGGGAGACCCTGTCTCAAAAAGACCAAAAAATAAAACAAAAAAACCTCAAACTTAGGCCTCTTGATTTCAGATTCTTTTCTTTTCAATAGATTGCTACATTGAGAACACATCTTCAAATGGCTGGAAAAAGGTACCTGCGGATGACCTTTGTGCCACCCCCTTACATGTACATGTAAAAAAGAGACCAGTATTATTCCTCTCTCAAATTTCAGAAGTGACTTAAGCCTGTGAATCAAAATATCTTACTTCATAGATTGAATGAGGCCAAACCGAGCCAGCAGGAGGTCACAGTATAGTTCCAGGATCTCCATGGCCTCCACAAGGTAGTCTTCCCGGATAATGTGCTCCACTCGGATTCGTGCTCGTTCATCTTTCCCAGCGGCCAGATAATCAGCGATCTCCTTCCTGGCTTTCTGAGCCAGTTCCGCTAAAGCAAAAATTCCACTCTAGTCACACACTCGTAGAGTACTACGACTAGGCCTCTAAGCAGAGCTCTATCCCAACAGGGAGAACTGGGTATTTCTACATCATCCTAACTCAGGGAGGGCAAACCTTTTAGCGCTTTCAATGATATAGTCTGCTACAGCACATGTGCCACATTTTTGCCACCACTCTCCTAGCTCATTTTGCCTTAGCTAATTACTTTCATCTGACTCCCAACTCAATTATTCTAAAGCTGCTACTCTGTGTGAGAATATAGTATTTAGCCTGACATTTCCAACTCGGAGTCGTATTACTATTCTATGACCAAAATACATTTATCTCTAGATACCTGTTATAGTTTGTGTCTAAGTGGGCCCCCTAGCCTCATGCAATCATGGAGTGGCTTAATCTAGCATTTGTGATTAGTTTGTTGACTAGTACTCGGAGTGACCATGTGAATGCTGCACCCGCCCAGGAGTGCAGCTGGCACACAATGTAAGGTTTGCAGCAGCCATGAACAGTTGCCCCTCAGCCATGCCACCCCATCTTGAAGCCAACTGAGTATGGACTGAAACCTTCAAAAAAAAAACTAAGATAAGGGTCTGGGGATTTAGCCCAGTGGCATAAGCGCCTGCCTTGCAAGTGTGTGGTGGTGAGTTCGATCCCTGATACTAATAAAAACGAAAACAAAACAAAACAAAAAACTCAGATAAATAAACCTTTCCTTCCCTAATTTTGGTGTCAGGTATTTTGTCTCAGCAACAAGAGAAAAGTAACCAAGGCAGTATCCAAAAGGGATTGGTTCTAGAACACCCTGCAGATACCAAAATCCAAAGATGCTCAAGCCCCTTACATAAAATGTCACAGTATTTGCTTAGAACCTATGCATATCCAGTGTATTTTAAATCATCTCTAGGTTATTTATAACCATTAGAACATATAAATGTGTTGTAATACATTATTTAGGAATAATGGCAAGAAAAATCTGTACATATTACAAATATAATTTAAAGCAAGATATAGAACTTGTGAATTTGTAAGGTTCACACAACGTCCTTGTCTCAACAAAAAACATTTCAGTCTACTCAAAAAAGGCAGAAATGTATGCAAAGCTCAGAAAAACATGATGGCATTGAAACTTCACAGTGCTGGTCCCAAAGACGCAGAACTGGGGGAGGGCGGCACACAGTGATGTATGTTGGGAAAGAAAAGATAAACGGCTTATGCACTACTCACTTTTTTTTTTCTCCAGTAGTTTGAGGCGGTTTATGACTAATCTCAAATTGACTCGTAAACGCTCGGCTTTAAATCCAGAGCCCAGCATGCTGTGCTGTTCCTCCTAGAAAAAGAATCAATGAACAGAATGTTTGGAGTCAAAATTAGCTTAAGAACTAACACCATTTAAACCAGGTGTGGTGGTACATGCCTGTAATCCCAGCACTGGGATGCTGAGGCAGGATTACTGGCCAGCCTGAACTACATTAAGCGGGTTCAAGACCACCCTGTACTACCTAGCAAGACCCTGTTTCAACAAAACAAAACAACCAACTAAAAAACTGTAAAATAAATAAGCCTGACACTAAAAGTAGGGGTTTTGCCCTTCTTTTTGTTTTTGGTGTTGGATCTTGAACTTAGGCTAAGCTCGAGTGTTTTTCTAATACAGAAAAATGATAAGAACTCAATAACACTTTATTAAATATCATTTTGGCTGCTGTGTAAAGAACTGACTAGAAAAGGACAATATGGGAAACACGAAGTCCCCATGACAGTACAGGTAAGACAAGTCAGTAACTTAAGACCAGGGTAGTCAGCAGTGGCAGTAGTAGAGGAAACTGTATTTGAAATCTATTTTAAAGGCAGAGCTCAAAGAATCTGGAGGGAAAAAAAAATATGGTGAAAGATTAAATGGCTATTTAGGTAGTGGCAGGAGGAAGGGATGATAAAAAGATGGAAAAACAGGAAGGCCTTGGGCGTCTAAAAACTCTTGACAAGGGAGGTGACTGAAAAAAGATTAAATGTCATTAACATCTACTCATCTGCGAAGTGAAAAGTCCAAGAAAAAAGTGCTTTACAAAATTATACATGAGAAATTACCGAGATTTTCAGTGACCAGCAGTTAGTCAACAAAGCCCCTGCCTCTTACCCATAAGATCTGAAGTTCTACCCTTGAATACTGACTACCGTGAATTCTGGTTTTTAACACAGCACAGTATCTTTTGGTTTTTTTGAAACAGAGTCTTGCTATGTGATGTAGGATGGCTTTGAACTCACTTATATATCCTCCAGGCTGGCCTCAATCCCATGGCTATCCTCCTGCTCAGCCTCCTGAGTGATGGGAATACAGAAATGCACCACCATGCCCAGCTGCAGCACAGTATCTTTTTGTCACTTTTAATGCTGGACTCAAAATTAACTTTTTTTTTTTTAAGTCTTTTTTGAGGTAGAGTTTCATTATATGGTTCAGGCTGGTCTTGAACTCATTTTGTAGCCCAGGCTGGCCTTGAACTCACAGTGATCCTCCTGCCTCAGCCTCTTGAGTGCTGAAATTACAGGTGTGCACCACCATGCCTGGCTGAACTTGAAACTGAAAATATGTGGCACCCAGACCAATGCTGAAGATTAAACTGAGAGCCTTCACACTTTAACTATTATCAACCATCCTTCTCTTCCTCTTTTCTCCCCACTTCCCCAACAGGGTCTTGTTGAATCACTATGTTGCCCAAGCTTGGCTTGAATGTGCAATTCTGCTTCAGCCTCCCAGAATGCCTGGAGTATAGGCATGCACCTCCTCTCTTGGCTTACACTACATGTAATAATTAACTCAAGTCCTAGTTGAAAAACAGGGCTTGTATGTCACACAGTATCTCTCTGACCCACTATGCTGAATTATGATGTTCAATCCAAAGAACAAATACTTATTGATTGTATGTCACACTTGGGCTAGATGCTGGGGAAATAGTCTTTGTTCTCAAAAGGAACTTATGTTCTACTGGGGAGGAGGAACAGTTAAGAAAACTTAGCATTTGTAATGCTATTTAGTAAGGGCTATAACTCTTGAGTTTCTCAATCAGAAATTATTTTTGTCCTCAAGGGGACATTTAGCGATGACTGGAGACATTCCGGATTTTCTTAAATGGAGAATATACTACTGGCAACTGGTGGGGAGAGACCTGGGTGCTGTTAAACATCCTACAGTGAACAGGACTGTGTGCCTACAACAAAAAATTATCTGTCCAGAACTGAGAAGCCTAGAGAAATGAACCAACATAGAGAGAGGTTATGAAAGACTTTCTAGGAGGAGGGAAGGCTTACACTGAGTCATGAAAAACATGTTATCTGTGCAAGAGTGAATGTGAACATTCCAAGAAGAAAAGGTTGTATGTATAAATCCCAGGTACCAGAGAGAAAAAGGAGCTTGCAAAAGCTGCAAATTCAGTCCAGAGAAAGCATGGGATTAACTGCCATTTATGCCATAAACATACCTCTTGATCTTAAATTCAACATTTCAACTATAAGGTGTCAAGCACCACAGCAGATTCTGCTGCTAGCTAGCTCTAAATGATATCTCTGTTTTCAAGCTATTCATAAACAGAGACAGATGGGAAACAGAAAGACAAACATGAAAACGAACCACTACCAGTTACTCTATCAGGCTTTTGCCCAAGATCAGCCAGCAACTAAGAGTAAGGCTAAAAATAAAACCTAAATTATCTGAAATCAAAACCCAAGTAAACAAACAAACAAACAAAAACCCAAGTAAATAATCTTTATCATATAATATTACATCATTTTTGGCACAGTAAGTCACACAACAATGTATGTTTTTGTCTTTGTCTTTTTTTTTTTTTCACAAAGTCCTCACATTAAATGTCTTTGTCTTTTTATCATTACCAGGGATCGAACTCATGACTGCCTGCTTGCAAGGCAGGGACTTATGCCACTGAGCTAAATCCCCAGCCCCTAATGTAGATTTTTAACCTCTAACAAAGATTTACTCAACTCCTATTACACTGTAACAGGCACTCAAGATGTACCAGTAATGGAAAAACCAGGTTATTGCCTCAGGGGATTTATACTCAAGAAACACAACTATAGTACTGTATTTCAGTACCACAAAGAAATGGTGTTCTGAAGCTTATTACAGAGCATGTGATCTCCTCAACTATCTGCATGGAAGCTATCTCAAGATAACAAAACTGCAGCTCAAATACAAAGTCCAAGTTATGACAGAAAAATGTCAAGATTTCTGTGGTATTTTTTTAAATGACTTTTTCCCCCAGTACTAAACTCGGGGCCTTCACACTGAACAATCCCCAGCATTGCTTTTGTTTTTTATTTTGAAAAGGGATTTTACTAAATCACCTAGACTGGGCTCAAACTTGCTATTCTCCTGCCTCAGCCTTCCAGAGTGCTAAGATTGGTTTGGGTCACCACACCTGGCTTTCCATGTGATTCTAAAGTAGCCCAAGCTGGCACATAAAAGCTTCAGTTCCATGATGTGTCCATCTTTTTTCTTTTGTTGTTTGGGTTTGTTTGTTTTGTTGAGGCAGAGTTTTACTATGTAGTTCAGGCTGACCCAAAACTCATTTTGTACCCCAGGTTGGCCTCGAACTCACAGCAACCCTCCTGCTTCAGCCTCCTGAGTGTTGAGATTACTGGTATATGTGCCACCATTTCCAGCTGATGTTTTAAATCTTTACAAGAAAATTGCAGTCATATCTGTATTTTAAATATTTTCAAGAGGTTTAAAAACACAAAACTTTTTTTTTTTTTTGGTACCAGAGATTGAACTCAGGACTTTGTACTTGCCAGAAAGGGGCGTATGCCACTAAGCTGAATCCCCAGCCTTTTTTTTTTTTTTTTTCCTTTTTTGAGACAGGGTCTCACTATGTAGTCCAGACTGACTTCAAATTCAAAGTGAGCTTCCTGCCTCAGGGTCCCAACTGCTAGGATTACAGGCTTATACCACTATGCCCAGCTCAAACAAAACATTTTGACAAAATAAATTCCATATCTATGAACCTCTAAGGAGATAATGAGAGCTTCATGGGTATTTTTGTATCAAAATATTTACTACCTTTTTTTTCCTTTGATTTTTTGAGACAGGGTTTTGCTATTATAGTTTAGGCTGGCCTTGAACTCACAGAAATCCTCCTGTTTCAGCCTCCCAAAGGCTGGGATTACTGGTATGCACCACCATGCACAGCCACTACCACACTTTAGGACCAAAAAAATTATAATAACGAAATGTATTAATCATCAATATTATCAGTTAAACAATTAGAATTTGGTGGAATTTTATATAACCTTATAACACTTTTTAAAAGGCACTTATGGACATGAGAATATTTTAATACAGGTAGCTTAAAAAACAAGTTGTAAACCAGGCATGGCGGTATGCTCTGAAATCTCAACCTCTGGTAAACTGACAAGAGGGTTGCCAAGTTTGACTCTAGCCTGGCAATTTAACAGGACTCTGACTCAAAAAACAAAAAGGCTGGGGATATCGTACAGTGTAAAGGCCCTGGGTTTGATCAATCCTCAGTACTCCACTGCCAAGTAACAAATCAAAACAAAGAAACCCACCCGTGCATAAATGAAAGTTAGACTTCAAGAAGGGAGCGGCTGCTAAGGATATAGCTCAGTATGTAGTAAAGTGTTTGCCTATTACAAATGACAACCCAGATTTAATTCTCAAGACCACAAAGAAGAAAAAGATTTAGCCATATTTATATGTAAGCTTCTCTCAAATGAAAGGCATTTGAATGTTTAAGCCAATGTAAAATGCAAATCTATCTTGAAAGCATTTAATTTTAAATTTCTACATCAAAAGAATATAAAAACTTGCTCTTTTAGAGAAGAAAAATACTCATCAAAAGATATTAACAATTGTAAAAAACAAGTTTAAAATAGTCTGTTTTCAGGAAAGGGAATTTCATAGCCTAAGGATGTGACTGTGCCATAGCAGAGGTCTCTAAAGAAAGAGGGTAGTCAAGTAGTGAGGAATTCACTAGCAAACTCTGAAAAAGCACTGTCAGTTAAAAAGTTACAACTGTAATCATTTGCTTTAAAAAAAAAAAAAAAAAACAGCCTATTTATAGAAGCACTGGGATAAAAGGGGTTAGGCACCTGCAGAACAGACTGACTCAGTACTCAGTCAATGAGGAAAGGAAACGGGAACTGCACATTAGGATTTATACTGCTCTTTGTAATCACTGTGAGGATGTCTGTCTGTTGGGCTGGCATGCTATTTTTGCAAGAATGAGAAAAAAGTCTTGGTTTCACTATTCTTCCTGCCTCTAGTCTATTCTTTGGGTTGGCACACATGATGGTATTTCT